GTGCACGCGTACGTGAAGGCGTTCTGCCGCGCGCAGGACAATGGCTCGGGCGTGCGGCGCAGCATGGACGGCGAGGACGGGGGCGCGGACGGTGACGAGAGAGAGCGGCGCGTGATCATGGCGTTTGGACAGGTGTACTTCGGCATCCTCGTCCCCTTCATGCGCCGTGCGCTGGTAGAGGGGGTGTACGGCATCAAACTAGACGCGTCGTTCGAGGTGGCGAGCGATGCGTTGCCCACATCAGTGATGGACTGGGAAGATTATGTGCTCGAACAGACCGAGCAGAGCGACGAGAGCAGCAATGAGTCATAATTTCTGCTCTCTGTATCGTTGTACATTATGTTGCCTTAATCTTAGGCAGCTGGATTTTTCTATTGGATCATCTATAAAGGCTGTGGTCATGCTATGCTTGAGCGTCTCGATCTGATACCAGTGACACTATTAATGAATTCCGACCTGTTCGTGTCGATTCTCTATGTGGATTCATCACTGTCAGATATTCGCGTACTAAGCTTAAGAGAGCCTGATGATGGCCGACTGATCGAACGGGTAAGAACCAAACTATGCAGCGCGGTGATCGCCATTAACGCGCAAACTCCATGGACTTTAATTGTCGTAACAAATGGCGGATTTTTATCCTTTATAAGCCACTGTCTTTGAAGGCCGAAATCCATCACGCCGGGCCCGGTGGCATCGACATACTTATGTACTAGAATTACCAGGGAGTCAATCATTATTGGCTATTTCAGTACGAGACAAGTGATATATCAAGTCAGAGCCATGTGGGAACAATCTGAATGACATATTTCAAGAATGGTGATGCACTTCAATGGTTTATACAATTTCAATGTTCTCCCAGGTTTGACCTGCTCTAGCGAAGGCGTAGATACATATGAGGATAAAATTACCGCATAAGGGAATGATATCTATTCTTAGAATGCCGCAAAACTTGGCTTCGCCGCTCGGTGTATGTAAGCGTGATAGTAGAGCGGTACCTTTAGGATATTTCAAGGAGTGATTATCTCGCGAGATTGATATTGCTAGATATAGAACGGAGATACACATGATGAGGGTATCAATAGTGTCACAAGCACCGATGGAAACCAGCCATTTGAAGCTCTTCGTCGATCCCAGAACGAGGGCTATAAGATAACACTGTGTTCCCATGATCCTGGGGTGCCATGAAGCCTCTACGAGAATCAATAGCCAGACAGTCCAAAAAAGCGAGGTTGAACCCAAGATGACGCAAGGTAAGCTGGGCGTATTACGCCGCGACCTTGATGCCCGCTGCAGCCTTCCCCGCCCCAACCTCAATCAACCTCAATCTCCTTGGACGTAGTAGGCCGCCGGGCCGATGACAATTTGTACACACGCCAGTGTGAAGACAGAGACGGACAGTTCCAGATAGCGCTGGGTTTCAATAGTATGGAAGATGCATCGCACTGCACATACGAATCAGATACCTTTTTAATAGTATGTACGAATGAAAACTTGGCGTGCGGCGCGCCCAAGCGGCAGTCCGATGGCAGCGTGATTGTGGAAGGCGTGCTGCGCAGTGCGGGCATCCGTTCGTGCATCTCGATGGTAGGGGCCGTGAGGAGGAGGGAAGGTGGAAGGCGCGCACTTATGTTTTCTCATGCATGTGCTCGCGAAGAGGCCATAGAGCGGCGCGTTTTCTGAGGCGGCCGAGCACCGCCGTTCGCGTTCTTCTGAAGAGGCAATGAAAACTGGACATGTGCGATGGAAATCGACGAGCAGATGGACAGGAAGGAGCGTGTATCAGGTGAGGCGCCCCGATGATATGGTTTCATTTTAGAACATAGCGCGGAAGAAATTGACATGAAACGGACGCATGTACCGTGGAACTTTTTTTTGACTCCTTGCATAGTACTAATGAGGGTCATTTTGATGGTAGCCGAGTTATTTTAGGAGAACAATGAGGATTTAGCCGAAGCAAAAATGAGTGCAGCAGGGCCTCTTGACTCTGCCAGTGGCTGCATTAACATGGCTATGCTGCGAGTTTTAATTGCGTCCTTTGATTGATATCTGATACCAGGCTGCACGAATGATATTGACAGGCTATTTTGTAGGAATCGCAGATGTGCAAGTGGGCGGAATACGGCCGGCGCACCCACGCAAAATTGGGAGGAAGCAGAACGGATATGAAAAGAAAGAAACGGGGTGCATGGGGTGCATACGGTGCAAACCTTGTTACGAATCGCGTCGGTGATGACTCTGCCAGACCTACTACTTATTGGATCGTGGCGCCTGTCCTGCGTAATCCAGATGTAATCACAGCGCCAAAACTTGGAGTGGAAGGGCGGAATTTACGTGGGCGAGGTTATCGAGCATTGAGATTTCACGGCGAATGCGCGCTTCGATCCTCTTGACGATGTAAATAGCGCCGAAGCTGGCTTTAAGCTATACGGGTCAATATCGCGGGTGACGTTTCTGAAATGTATCTGAGGAAGCTTGACCTGTTCTGGGAGCAAAAGTCTTCAGAGAATGGGCTCTTGGAAAGGCGTGTTATAGCCGCACAAGTCCAGAAGGTGGGTGACGAGACGAATAGTCCGTTACGGTGTCCCGTTCGCTGCGTGTCGGTCCGACGAGCATGGATTTTTGGGGAGACATGCTAGTACAGGACCGCGTAGATGTACAATAAACACAATGAGTCACCGTAGACTGTTTGATTGGCTGGCCGGCACATGTAGAATGGAGGAAGCCAAGGGAAACCTCCGGAGCCAGTGAGACGGGATTCCCACGGTCTATGTCGTCAACGGAAGCTATATAATTAACGGAAATGGAATGGGCATATAAATACGAAAGCAACAGGCTGCAACCCGCTGCTGTCCCCCGCCTGCTCGCGGACGCCATGTCCTTCTTCGACGTCTTCCACCAACTTTCCACGACACGAGCTTGGCCTCTTCGCGCATTCTTTAGGTGCCCCGGCCTGTTTGATTCTGATTCTAGCTTTCATCCTGCCCCGAGGGCAACGAACAATGACATCTCATCTTCGGTTTCTTTCATGACTGCCCCCATGCCTACACTCTATCCGGCCTATATTCCTCCTATGCCCTCTCAGACACCTACCACCATCTCACCGTTCATGGAAATGCCCCTGGAACTGATTTGCACCGTCATCGAGGCCGCTTGCGAGGGGACCGACGACAGCACACGCGTTGGCCTTTTGAAGAGCTGCTCGCTGGTGTGCAGAACGTGGTCAAACGCGTCACAGCGACTACTTTTCTCCAAAGTTACCCTCCGGAGCCAACGCGCATTTGAATCATTCATGTTCGCCGTCGACCGCAGCGCCGAGCATGGTACTTCCCTCGGAGATGCCGTTCAGCACCTCAGTGTGGTGCTGGATCACAACCAGCCGTCGGGCCTTCACCAAAATTCTTTGGCGCTTGCCGTTACCGCATGTCCGAATCTATCGCGAATGGGGATATCACTTTACGGGTGTGCCGAGCCGGGTAACGATATTATTGGCGCCCCTGACGTTTCGCGACTTCGCCGCGCCGCTCCGTCGTTTGATGAAACGACGCTCACGTTACTCAAGTCAGGGCCCAAGATACAATGTCTACACTTCGATAATTGGTCGGAGAACCACAATTCGATTTTCCAGCTGCTCGATATATGGCCATCATTGCAGTTTCTCTCCATTGGGGGCACCCCGCCACAGCATCTGCAGAACTCCCCGCCACCGTTCCCCTGCGCCCTTCGCGGAGTCCGCTTTAACTTTCAGACTACGCCTTCCGTCGATTTCATGAGATGGCTCCTGTTCAATTCGGCTGAATCTCTTGAGACATTGCATTTCGAACGCGATCCCTGCGCCGACGTGCTGGAATATCTGATCGACGCGCATGGAGGCCACCTTCGCTCAATCTCCCTTCCAGGATACGGCTCGTCATTGCTGATGGGTATGGTCACCAAAGTACCTTACCTTCGCGAGCTACGCACCGAAAACCCGTCCACGTTATCCGCGCATCATGCAAACCTTTCCGACAAGGTTGAGCACCTCGCCTTTGGGCTCGATCGCAACACCCCTCTCGGGAGCATCATCGACGTCATCAAAACGAGGGAAAACCTGCAGACCGTCACGGTTCATGTGTCGGCGAACGGTGATCACCACCCGCTTTTCTGCTCTCTCAAAATTGCATGCATGTACCGAGGCATCGGCTACGATATAACCACTGATTTACGACTATTCCGTGCCGCGAACACTTGGGTAAGTTTCCCTCTCTAATCAATACATCCCGCATTGACGACCGATTTGCCGACTTACTAGTGAAGTTAGCGTGGTAGTTCGTTTACATCAGGTTTACTTTTCACCGACAATTTACGATCATTTACAGTCCCGCACACTCCCCACATCACATTGTATAATACCCATTCAACTTCACGACACACATGCGCTCCAATCTAAACTACTCCGCATCCTATCCCCATTGCTTAATATTATATATAATCCATGCCATCTTAATATTAGTCACTGCCGCATGAACTACTTCGTTGCACATACTTTCAAACCTACAGTGCTCAATCTACCGCGTGCTGGAACCTTGATTTTCATACTACACTACAGCCTTCCAACGACCTTTCACGTATTCTACATTTTACATACACACGATCATTGACGCCCCCGTATTCTGAATATTAATAGTTGTTTACCTACATTATATGACCCTTGAGTAATTAAATCCTTCCTTCACTCAGTGAAGACTGACAATCAGTTGGGAGCATGTAAGGACTTGCGGCTTTTGTTGGCTCAGTCCCTGGACTGGTCGCTGTACTTCTGGTAGCTTTCCCTTGTAAAAAGAGCTTGCTCCGGATTACACATTGCGCCTAAAGGTTTTTTGAAAAATTTCACCAAGTCCCCGTGGGAAGTGGACTTACGTTTTTCACTCAAAAATTAAGTGATCGCCCTGCGCTACATAGTACACGCGCTCGCCCTTTCCCCTGCCCCTCTCCTTGCATTACTGCTTAAAATAATGCAAAACTGTCGGTAACCGGATTCGAACTGGTGGCTCCTCGGGCTTACGTAAGCATCCACAACGAGGTGATTTAACCCCTAATCGATACCGACGATGCCTAACGACGGAGGATAGGGATCAGTACGTACAGTCTCAATATTTTAGCAGGAATCATTCCTATCCTAACAAACTATTTCACCATTGGTAAGATGCAGGGGTTTTCATACTATATCTATCAAAGATTTCTGTTTAGCTGTTTCTGCATATTAGCGGTAGAATTAGTGAAAGTGGGCGCATATGGGCGCTTACAATGGAATCTGCCACAATTGCCAAATACTGCCAAATAGTATCTCATTAATAGTGCTGCAGTGCTTACCCGAACCACTCGACCACACGCTGTCCTCAAAGGCATCTCCTTCCTAGGTCCTTCAATAGTCATGGCTTCGTCGTCGCTTTCATCCGTCGTCTCAGGCCTTGTGCGAGCGTCCATGGGCTCGTCGGTACCCAGCACCGTTAAAGATGACGACTTAGACCGCGCGGTCGCAGAGCTTATCGTTCGCGAAGCAAAGAAGAAGGCAGAAAGCTATGGCCAGCAGGGAATCCGCGCTTATATATCTAATAATACGTACGCACTGCACTACACCGGCGTGCGCCGCTCTTCGAGCTAAATCATCGCTCTTTCAGGACGGACAGCAATGCGCCCAAACCAAACAAGCGGTTCCTGAGCTCAATCATCAAGAGCACGGACGACCACAACAGGACTGTACTGAGGGCGCAAGCTCAAGCTGCTCAAGAGGTCAAGCGTGAGCGCGAGGAGCAGGAGCGGCGGCAGCGTAGAGCGCGTGCGGAAGAGGCGGCCGAAGCAGAGAAGCTACGCAGGTCCGGCCGCGAAGCAAAGCGGAAATCAACCAAGGATGAAGACGGGTGGGATCGGTGGGATGGGAGGACGGCGAAACGGAAAAAGGTGTCGCGAGATTGGGAGGCCTATGACGGCCGGGACGAGGAGGACCACGACAGGTACCGGAAGAGGCGGGGGAACCTTTCGCGGTCATCGAGCAGGGACAGGGAGAGGAAAGCAGGGAGTCCGTCGCTCACAAAGCCTCGGACCACTCAAGACAACGAAGAAACCACACGGCGACGGCGGCGTAGTCGTAGTGCGTCACCCCGCAGGCACAGGTCCAGAGACGGCAGCGAGGAACGACATGAGGACTCGCGGCGGCACAAACGACCACGAAGTCGCGAACGCTCGCATAGGCACTCACGCCGCTCACCGTCGCCTTCTGGTCCCCGGCAGGAGGCAAAGTCCGATAAACGCAAACGTACTCACTCCCCCAAGCATGCCCTGGATAATATCCGCGACAACTCGGTCACCCTCAGATCTCCATCTCCAACGTCAGACACACACTCTCGAGGAGAACGTCGAAATCGGATATCGCGGGAGCCAGAACCAAGTCCCCAAACAAAGCCGCCAGCAAAGTCCAAGGACCGCGAAACTGTTCTGCCGAGTCCCCGCCAAAGTTCACCCCGCGATTCAGGTTCTCGGTCACCAAGTCCTGGCCCTCATCCACCCATTCAACGACCATCTAAGATGGATCGTTATTTTGAAGAGTCGTACGACCCCCGTCTCGACGTGGCTCCTTTGGCTGCGCCAGCTGTCCCTGCCACAGGCTTAATCAACAACGCCGAGTTTGAGGGCTGGGATGCTATGTTGGAGCTCATACGCGCTAGGAGAGAGGATAAGCTAGAAAAGAAGCGACTGGAGCGCCTTGGTTTACTCCCCCCTAAGGAAAAGACTAAGAGCAAGAAGGGAGTGGTTGTAGATTCTGCACCGGCTGTTGCTGATAGATGGACTGGAGACGGTGTTAGCATTATGGACATAGAGTATGCGAAACGAGGCGCGGTAAGGGAATGGGACATGGGGAAGGAAGGGTTCTGAATTTGCACATAGAAATAATTATCATCTAGTTGAAGTTTGCACATAGCAGATTATTTATGACGGTTGATACACTACGTTCTTGGTTTATTCTATGGATGTGTGAATGTGTATGGAAAAAAAATGATTAAGAATACACCTCAATGAGGCATAGGATCAAAATGATTGATGTGAGAGTTCATTCAAACTGGCTTGGAGTTAAAATTGTGCGTCAAGAAATCACCTTCACAGTTTGAGTCATGCCCTTCAAAGTCAATATTCACTGCTATCCGACTCGCTACCCATATCCATGGCCAGCGTTCGAACGTCATCGTAGCTGTCAATTTGAGCAGTGGAAGGACGCGAACCGTAATATTTCCGAGCAGTGTCACTTTGGGCTGGAATAAGAGACACTTGGCCGTCCATATAATGAACCCAGAGCGGCCGATGGGCGGCACGAATATCTGAGGATGTATAATGTTCGCAGTAGTCCTCGTTCAGAATTGGAGATTCGACATCGTGCCTAGTAAACCACATAAGAAAGAGTACAACCAGACAATTATAACGAACTTGCTTGTCTCGGATATGAGCTTTCAATTCAGCGAATTGACGCGGTCCCTTTTCGCTCTCCGTATCGATGCAATGCATACACACCCATACGGGGGTAACATTGATTTTGAGCTCATTTTCGGCGTCCATGATATCTTTGCCTAATTCATTCGCGCTCAGCTTGATGATAGATTCCACCTGGTAATGTTGGTCCTCAAAATGCCTAACCTGGTGAATGGAATCATTTAGATAGATACATTGACATGAATAAGTATAAAAACAGAATTTGATGCTCACCATTGCACGCCATTCGAAGAGGCCGACCTCAACAGGCCTACCGGGTGCAAGACTGCTCCTCCCGCTGCTGCGACCGCCTTCTTCGTCATCGCTCCCCTCGTGAAAGTCGCTGAACTCGCCAAAGTCGTCGCCCTCGCCATAACTGCATTCGCCATCGGTACTTCCCTCGCCATCGTTACTCTCGCCATCATTACTCCCCTCGTCGATGTCACAGGCCCCGCCAATATCTCTGGCCTCACCACTACCACCGCACTTGCCGTTATCCCTGGCCCCGTCTTTATTGTTGTCGGTTTCCTTGTTTAAGGATTGAGCCTGCTTTTTGCGCCTCAACTTCAAACATATCTCGCACACAAAGCGAAGATTCAACTTGTCCATGTCGTCAGATGTGGCCGACGCAGGATCCAAACCAGCGGTCTTGACAACAGCTTCTGCCTTCGTGCTGATATGCACGTTATGTTGCAAATAGTTGGTCCACACCCGTCTTTCCTTCGAGTTGGCACGCCCAAGATACGTCGTAGGATCGCGCGTCTCCACTGTTCGTGACGGAAAAAGATCCCATTCGTCGAAGTGATAATACGGCCCGCGCGTGAGGCACGGAAAATGTCCCATGACTTGAGGATAGAAGAGAAGCCTGCTCGCTCCGCGGGACCTGTTGCATCCATAGTCTAGGTCTAAGCCCAAAGCCCAAGCGTAACCGGCCATGCCAGAGTCGTCTTTGGGATTGCAATGTTGGCATTCGAACACAGTGGCAGCTAAATTAAATTTGGCAGCTGCCTCTTCGTCTGACATCTTGGGTGTTTCGGACTTCTTGGGCGGCAGACCCATTAATTCCTCGTAGTCGGACTCGCAATACGCATCGTAGTCAGGGTACCCGACACTCCTCTTCACACGTTCTTTCATTTTCACAACTTCAGTTAGCTGACCGTCAATTTGTTTACGCCATTCCGCAAAAAGCTCTGGAAGCAAAGGAAGAATGTTCGCAAATGTCGATGCGGAAACTTGGACGTTGGCGGGCAAGTCCACTATTTCTTGAATCGGTGGGAATTTGCAGTAGTCGGGGGGTTCAGGGAAACATTGACGCTCGGGATGGTTTGATACTTTGAACTTCCTTATAACATCCATAGCAATGCTTTTGCGTGTCAATTTCAGAGCCTTGTAATCTCGCTCGAGGCGCTTGGCCTTCATCTTTTCCATAAAGTGGAGAATTTCTGACCGTATATGCGCCCACACTGGAAAATTGATTGAGCGCAAATTATAAAAATAATGTCACTCCTGACCTTTGTCAGTAAGCCGTTGTGGTCGGTTGACAAGTTTGTGATCTGCAAGGGAATCCGGATGCCGAATGTGTTCGACTTCATCACCCAGACCAAGCTCCTCGAGTTTGCGTACTATTCTATTCGGAGGTCAATGACTTTGCTATGAGAGAATACTGTTCAGATGTGACTTACGCGGCTTTCCTATCTTGCTTGAGTTGCTGGATTTCTTCGCTGCGATTTAACGTTTGCAGTCTTTCCCAAGCTTGACAACGATGAGCATGCTGAACAAAAGCTTGAGTTCAAGTTATAATGAAATGAATATATAGCCAAACTTCTTGTATTTGCTTGACAAGTTCTTTCCTATCCATGATGTAAGTTCTTTTTTCCTCGACAGTACTGAGCCGAGAGTAGGCCTTCTCCGTCGCATCATAATCAGCCTTCAGACAGCAAGTAGTATTACGTTCTGGTAAAGACGAGGTCATTGTCGCTCCCCGTCTAGCAAGAAAGAGGCACTTACTGCCATTCCGAGTTGGGACTAGTGACAATAAAGACATGGAGCCCATGGTGGGGTTTGTCAAAGTGATATCATGGCGCAATGACATTTTGTAGTATGCGGGGGTCTGCAACAAGCTAGCGACGTAATTTTGTATCGTTATTTTTCAAAGAGCCGCGAACAGAACAGATAAACTTACTGTTGCAGGGAGCATTTCTGGCACATACGTACTCTGAACAACCATTCTATATTTGGCGTACGTGTTAGGCAAAACTGTGAAAATGTAAGCGGCCGTTCTTTTTTTCTGTGAAAGTAAAGCAAATGTTTACATGGCAGTGCGGCGAAAACACAAGGTTCGCCCAAGCAGGTTCAGTCATTCCTTGGGGACATTCAGGTAAGCCGGATATCCTCTGCAAGGCGTCTTTCCACACAGAGAGAGAAACAGATCGATTGAGCAGCAGCCTCCTGAAATCTTTATTTGTCCTCGAGAGTTTGATGAGATCCGTGGGCTCAAGTTCTCTGAATATCTAGTAATTCTGTAAGATCGTACCATGTGAAAGTACACGCAGGCGATGACTTACCTCCAGGAGAATATCAAGGGGCATC